CAGAAGGATCAGCTAAGCCTTTCCATCTCATGCATGTACCCAAACAGGACAAGGGCCACAGCCTCACATACAACTGTGCTCACAGTTGCAGGCAAAGGAAGGTGAACATGTCAGTCAGGCTTCCACACTTTTGTGGTCCCTCCATTGGAGATGGCAGTAACTTTCCTCTTTGACCTGGTGCCTAGAGATATACTGCCTTATTTGCTCTCTAGCCTAACTTACAAAGGCCAGCTGGTTCTAAGGGCCTTCCTGGCAATTGGAAACAGCTTGCCTGCTACCTGAACTGGGTATGTAACATTCATCTGTCCCACTTGGAGGAAACACTGACAACCAGACCACCCTGTTTTAATGTGGCGCCCTTCAGATTAAGAGAAATATTTGACCCCGTTATTCTATGACTCCTGTAAAATCCTACAACAGATGCAGAGAAAAATGTAAAGAAATCAATGACATACAAATGAGGCTGAACCTGCCAAGCCCAGAATGTTTTGCAAAGTAATCTTATTCTCATTAACTTCATATTGACTCAAGAGGAGAAGTAAAAAAATTCACATTTTAAATGATCTATTACTTCCTCAAGATAATAAAAAGTAAATTGAAGATATAAAAAATGTGATCCATAATATCTTTTTCCTGCCTTGGAATTGTCCTTTCCACAAAAAAGGGCACCTCCCATTCCCCTCCTCCCAGTGGCCCTCCTCCACTAAACCTGGCGTATTTAGCTATAGATGTGACAAAAACTAAAATCCATGATGTCACCAGAGAAACACACAGATGGAAATCACTCTGCAAACACGGAACACTGAGAATTTAGCCATGAGTTAGATATGGCTCATCCTTCCACCTCCTTTGGGTCTCTGCTCAGACATCACATGTTCTCCATGAGGCCCTTCCTGACACACAGGCACAATAACATCCCCACTTCTTCTCTTGACCTGCCTCACTCTGCTTTATTTGCTCTATTTGCTCGTAGTGCCCATCCCCACCTGACATGCTGTATTCATACGTCTCTCTCCCCTGCTGGAAGGTGACTTGAGAGGTGACACCTGATTCACTGCAACCAGCCAGTACTAGAAAATACCCCATACTCAAGTACAGATGTTCCTCCGCTTACAACAGAGTTATATCCTGATAAATCCATTTTAAGTTGAAAATACACCAAGTCAGGGCCACATGTGGTGGCTCGTACCTGTAATCCCAGCACTTTGGGGGGCTGAGGTGGGTGGATCACCAGAGGTCTGGAGTTTGAGACTACCCTAGCCAACGTGGTGAAATCCTGTCTCTACCAAAAATGCAACAATTAGCCTGGCATGGTGGCAGGCACCTGTCATTCCAGCTACTTGGGAGGCTGAGGCAGGAAAATCGCTTGAACTCGGGAGGCAGAGGTTGCAGTGAGCCAAGATCACGTCACAGCACTCCAGCCTGGGCAACGGAGCAAGACTCTGTCTCAAAAACAATGACCACCACCACCACCACCACCACCACCACACCACCACCACCAAAAAACTTAAGTCAAAGATGCATTTAATAGACCTAACCTACCGAATATCATTACTTAGCCTAGCCTACCCTACATGTGCTCAGAACACTTACATTCACCTATAGTTAGGCAAAAACACCTAACACAAAGCCTTTTTAATAACAGTGTTGAATATCTCACGTAATCTGTTGAATACGGTACTTAAGTATGGTTTCTACTGAATGTGTATCACTTTTGCACCACCATAAAATCAAAAAATTGTTCAGTCAAACCATCATAAGTTAGGGACTGTCTCTGGTGAAAGAACGATCCCATCGGTTCATCCATCCACCCACCTACCACTTCAACTTCCATCTATCTACCCTTTAGGAAAAGCTGATGATCAGTGAGGCACCATGATGACCATTCTATACATGGATGAAGAGAACAGACATAGTCTTTGCTCTCAGAGGGCTAGCTAGCAGGCAGCTGTATGTACAAAAAAAGAAAAAAAATACAAAGCTGGCCGGGTGCAGTGGCTCACGCCTGTAATCCCAACACTTTGGGAGGCCACGGCAGGCAGATCATCTGAGGTCGGACCAGTCTGACCAACATGGAGAAACCCCATCTCTACTAAAAATACCAATTAGCCAGGTGTGGTGGTGTGCGCCTATAATCCCAGATATTCAGGAGGTTGAGGCAGGAGAAACACTTGAACCTGGGAGGCGGAGACTGCGGTGAGCCGAGATCATGGCCCTGCAGCCTTGGCAACAAGAGGGAAACTCCATTTCAGAAAAAAAGAAGAAAAAAGAAAAGAAAATCTATGTTTGGATAAATGCCCAAAGGTGCTATGAGGAAGAAAAAAGAAGGAATCTATGCATGATTAGGGAATCAGGGCTGTGCAGAGCACACAGGGTGCAGGCAGGTGTGGTGGGCGGAGCTTGGTGGTTGTGACTGAGGGACAAAGTGGCATGAAAGACAAGAAGGATCAGACCACACCTGCCAGCAACCACTGCTTTGTGTGCATGGTAGGTTGCAGGCAGCAACTTGGAATTGAATTCATTAGTGACATGCAAGTATCAACTTTATTTACAAGATTTATAGAAGGGATGAACAAACTTAAAATGTCTGCACCTACACTGATTATAAAAGAGTACTAAAATCAATTATGAAAATGTGGGTTTAAATTCCTATTTGTTCTGCATCAGTGAAGATGCTTCTTAAGTGTTTGGGAAAAATCCTGGTTTGAGGAGTAAACGCAGCTGAAACGTTTTGGGCGATAGAATACCATGCAGCTCCTTAACACCATTGTTCTGAACATTTCTGACCAGAGAGTGGTGTCAAGATTCACGTTCAGGAGAATGATTTAAAGCATATTGTCCTAAAAACAAATCCTTAAAAGACTGGATTATTTTTTTTCCCTAGAGCAAAGTATCTCCTAAGAAGTTTATTTCCTGGGATTAATTTTCTCCTAAAATTACAGTACATGCATTAAATGAGGTTCTTTTTATTGAACCAGAAACTCTTTGAAGGGAGGCGTTATCTCTGAACTTCCCCCACCAGGACCAGTGCCTGGCCCACAGGAGATCCCTAAAATATGTTGGATGAGATGAAAAGAGGTTTTGCTGAGTCTGGATTAGCACAAACCCCACTCTCAATATAGTGTTGGTCACATGCTAGCTGTGGGATTACAAGTCTCAAGATGGACTTTTTGGAAAATTAAATAAAATCACGACTTACAAAGAGTACCCATCCTGTTTGTCCCTAAAATGCAAGAACCATGATTGTTCACGTAGCTTTTACACTACCACCTTAACTGCCTTCTATCAGAATCTTTAACTTGGCATAAAACCACCAACCACTGACACATTTTGTGGTCAAACAGCCCCACAGAGTGACTGCAGAGCCTCTCTGGTCAAGAGCCAACACGCAAGATGGCCACCAACAGGGCAAGGTCAGTGGTGTGTGGATGGAAGAATTGCCACTGACTTCCCACCAAGGTGGATTCAGTCCCAATGGGCAAATTGCAGGCTCTGTTCTTGAGCCACGTGTGCTCACTTCCCATCATGGCCACTGGCCTAGCCCCTGCAGGCAGGGAACAGGAATCCAAAAGGGACAGGGACCTTCACTTGGAACTTTCTTTGTCAGTAATAAAGTGAATAAAGTGCTGAAGTGAATTATAGAATGGATTGCCAGTATGTTCTTGGTGACAGGACGCTGAAGAAAGCATCCAAGTAGATGACAGTCCTTATCAATGAATTATCCATCTCCAGGATCCAACTAAAGTGGTAACATTCAATTTTTACATCATGTCCACTGTGTTAAAGAAGCACAGAGGTGGAGAAAACCATTTGAGCAACTAGAATAAAGACTATGGAGGCTGGGTACAGGGGCTCACGCCTGTAATCTCAGCACTTTGGGAGGCAGAGGCAGGTAGATCACTTGAGGTCAGAAGTTCAAGACCGGTCTGGCCTACGTGGTAAAACCCCTTCTTTCCTTAAAAAAAAAAAAAAAAAAAAGCAGATGTGGTGGTGCACGCTTGTAATCCCAGCTACTTGGGAGGCTGGGGTGGGAGGATCACTTGAACCTGGGAGGCTGAGGCTCCCAAAGTGGAGCTAGGCAGAGAGGGGAAAAGAAAGTCGAGGCCAAGATTGTGTCACTGCACTCCAGCCTGGGCAACAGAATGAGCCTCTGTCTCGGAATTAAAAAACCAAAAATCAGAATGTGGGCTGACAAACATTTCTGCCTGCTGTCCCCAGTCTTCTATGAACAGGCCAGGAGTGCAGATGCACACAACGATCTCTCTGCACATGAGTTCATCATTTCAAGATGCCAAATGCTCAAGCTTTAGTTGCCCATGGCCGTACAGAAGTATGGTATTGTTACTGCCGGAAGACAAAGGTTTTTGATATACAGTTCCCCTGCCACCCTCGACTCTAGGCTTGCCCAGCACTGAGAGAGAAAACGTAACAGTAAATTATGCTACAAGAGGGTTTTATTTGTTTTCCTTTTAAAAAATTTTTTATTGTTTTTCCAGTTCCAAAAACAATATGCGTTTATTATTTTAAGACAACATGAAACGCGGGGTGCAGTGGCTCACGCCTGTAATCACGGCACTTTGGGAGGCCGAGGCGGGTGCATCACGAGGTCAAGAGATTGAACATGGTGAAACCCCGTCTCTACCAAAAATACAAAAAAATTAGCTGGGCATGGTGGCGCGTGCCTGTAATCCCAGCTACTCAGGAGGCTGAGGCAGGAGAATTGCCTGAGCCCAGGAGGCGGAGGTTGCGGTGAGCCGAGATCGCGCCATTGCACTCCAGCCTGGGTAACAAGAGCGAAACTCCGTCTCAAAAAAAAAAAAAAAAGACAACATGAAACTAAAATTGTATTATTTTAAAACAACTTGAAACTACAATTTCAATTTAAAAATAAAATGTCTAACTAGAAAAAAGTCTAACTAATCCTCCTAATTACCCTAATCCCATTCCACTTCTAGGTAGTTTTCTCTTTTTTTCTTTTTTTAATCTCTAAATGTGTTGTTTAAAATATGGAACACTTCACAAATTTGCACATCATTCTTGCACAGGAGCCATGCTAATCTTCTCTGCACTGTTCCAATTTTAGTATTCGTGTTCTCAAAGATAGCTCCAGGAAGCTTTCTGTGTATAGACTAAAGGGGAAAAAAATTAAGTAATACCTTCTGCAAGTTTTTTTCTCTGCTTATAAAAAAAGTTTAAAAATGAGATATAATTTCTGCCCATTGGGTTAATTTAAATTTTTTAAAAGTTGGCAAGGGAATCACTCCCATACCATTCATGAAAGTGTAATTTCAGCCGGGCGCGGTGGCTCAAGCCTGTAATCCCAGCACTTTGGGAGGCCGAGGCGGGTGGATCACGAGGTCGAGAGATCGAGACCATCCTGGTCAACATGGTGAAACCCCGTCTCTACTAAAGATACAAAAAATTAGCTGGGCATGGTGGCACGTGCCTGTAATCCCAGCTACTCAGGAGGCTGAGGCAGGAGAATTGCCTGAGCCCAGGAGGCGGAGGTTGCGGTGAGCTGAGATCGCGCCATTGCACTCCAGCCTGGGTAACAAGAGCGAAACTCCATCTCAAAAAAAAAAAAAAAAAAAAAAAAAAAAGAAAGTGTAATTTCACAAAGTCTTTTTTTGGATAATATTTTGACAGAATTTATTAAAATTTAAAATGCTAGCTGGGCGTGGTGGACATGCCCGCAGTTCCAACTACTTAGGAGGCAGAAGTGGGACGTTTGCCTGGGCACGGGAGTTCAAGCCCAGCCTGGGCAACATAGTAAGACCCTGCCTGTAAAAAAATAAAACAAAAATGTACACATACCATCAGACCCAGTAAATCTGCTATGAGGAATCTGTGCTGGAGAAAGACTAGTTTGGACATACAGAGGTGTGTTCAAGTATGTTCTTTTTCTCTTCTTAACATGTCTACCAACATGGGAATGTTTACAAGGTACATCTCTAATATGGAATACAACGTAGTGGCTAATTGGAATGAGGTAAGCCCATATGTACTGATCTGGAAAGGTCTCTGAGATATCCTATTAAGTGAGGGGGAAAGCAAGTTATCAAGTAGGAAAAATAGAATCCTCTTTGTGTTTAAAAATACACAAAATAATACATAGTAGTTGTATATGTATATATTCAAACCAGCCAGGAAGAACACACACCACATAGTTAGCAGTGAGAGTGAAGTGGAGCCAGGCAGAGAGGAGAAAAGAAAGTCAAGGAAGAATTTCATTTTACTTGTACTGTTTGAATTTTTTACTTCCACTAGCAAGCACCCCTTTATTAAATGTAAAAGGAATAGTGAAATAAATCTTTCATCCAGTTGATGTATTTGAATATGGCATGAGGTAGGTATCTAACTCCTCCTTCCTGTATAGTTTAACCACCCCTCCCTGTATAGTTTAAGTCTATTTAGGAGACCTCCCTTGTGTTCTTTTGATCTATTATCACATCATTATCACTTGCTGTGGCTGTCATAGGATGCTTCAGCATTGTTTTCAAAACTCTTAAATGTATCTTTTAATGTTTTTTTTTTTTTTTTTTGAGTCTCACTCCGTCACCCAGGCTGGAGTGTAGTGGCGTGATCTTGGCTCACTGCAGCCTCCGCTTCCCAGGTTCAAGAAATTCTCCTGTCCCAGCCTCCAGAATAGCTGAGACTACAGGCATCTGCCACCACACCCGGCTAATTTTTGTACTTTTAGTGGAGAAGGGGTTTTACCTTGTTGGTCAGGCTGGTCTTGAATTCCTGACCTCAAGTGATCCACCCACCTCAGCCTCCCCAAGTGCTGAGATTACAGGTGTGCGCTACCGTGCCCAGCCAATTTTTTTTTAAACTTCTAACTTTTAAATTTCTTTAGAATTTACTTTCTTCCCTTCCTCCCTTTCTTTTCTTTCTTTCTTTTCCTTTTTTCCTTTGAGACAGGTCTCATTCTGTCACCCAAGCTGGAGTGCAGTGGTGTGAACATGGCTCACTGCAGCCTCGACCTCCTGGGCTCAAGTGATCCTCCCACCTCAGCTTCTCGAGTAGCTCCAACTACAGGCACACACCACCATGCCTGGCTAATTTTTAAAAATTTTTTCGTATAGACAGGATCTTGCTATGTTGCTCAGGCTGGTCTTGAACTCCTGGTCTCAAGCATCCTTCTACCTTCGCCTCCCAAAGTGCTAGAATTAGAGGTGTGAGCCACCCCGCCTGGCTGGAATTTATTTTCTTCTATGGTATACATTTTCTATATAGCTGATTCTGATCCATAATCTGAACTTGCATTTCTACTAATCTTGGTTACCTACCAAAGAATCAAGAGCTTTAAAAATATCACAGTGAGTTGGCAGCTTACCTGTGACAGAGCCATGCAATGTCCTGGTCATGTTCAGTAATCTGGTGTTAAGATACACATAATACCTAAGAAATAAGTTCTAGCTTCTTAATGTTTGAAATGTTATTAAAATTCACTGAACATAGAAACCTTGGAGAATACACTTTAACTTTCATAAGAGTTAGGAGGTACTTTAGGTTCAAATAGGCCCTTAAAATCAGTGTTTATCTCTCAGTTGAATCCCACAGTACCTGTTATCATTCGTGCTTTAGGTGTCATATCAAAGCAACCACTGCCTAGTCCTAGGTCATAAAAAATGTCTTTAATTTCTTCTAAGAGATTTACAATTTCAGCTCTTACAGGTCTTTGATCAATTTTGAGTTAATTACTACGTACAGTGTTAGGTAGATTTTATCACCCCAAAAAGGTAGGAGTCCAACTTCATTCTGTGCAAGATAACTTGAACATATTAGAATATTAGAGCAGGCCACAGGGCTTGGGAGTGCCAGTCCCTTATTGTAATGGTGATCACGAGGTCTGGAGTTCATCTCGAGCCTGGCCAACAGACTAGCCTGGTCAATATGGTGAAACCCCATCTCTACTAAAAATACAAAAATTAGCCAGGCTTGGTGGTGGGCGCCCGTAATCTCAGTTACTTGGGAGGCTGAGGCAGGAGAACTGCTTGAGCCCCGGAGGTGGAGGTTGCAGTGAACCAAGATCATGCCTGGGCGAAGAGAGCAAGACTCCAACTCAAAAAACAAAAAGCAAAAACCCATATAGATGCTTGGAAATCCTTCCTAGAGATTATGATTTAATTGGCCTGAGGTGGAGTTTGGGCACTGGTGTTTTTCAAAAGCTCCCCAGTTGACTCTAATGTGCAGCCAGAGTTGAGAACTGGTGCCCTAGAATCTGAGCTTTTAAAAGAGTCCCTGGTGTTGGTTTAGATATCTGTTATTTTATCCTTTCTCATAAACATGAGACAAACTAAATTTTAAATGGCTCATGGTTTCTGGCTGTTAGAACTCAGTAGAGCTGGGATTTTATTTTATTGTCTCTTCTACATTTTTTTTTTTTTTAAGATCAGCAGATTGCCATTTTATAGACAGAGAATCTTAAGTGCAAAATGGCTAAGACACACACTGAGATCACCATTGTGAGCTGGGTGGTGATCGAATTACAGTTTCTTCCTTGGGAACCGACCGAACTTAGCTCTTTTTCTAGTTACTCCAGCCTAAACCATCACGGACATTAGGGACACCGACTCAGCACAGGTGGTAGGACAGGCAGCATCCCGGCACTGGCAGAGACAGAAAGTCTGGGTGGAGCCTCATAGTCTGGAAAAACTATAAACTCTCAAGTCCACTTTCTGATTTGATGAAATGGAACCTCCTCCCTACTTCTCCCTACCCCCACAAAAAAAACCAAAACCTTTTTTTTTTTACAGGGCTGAGAAGACAAGGTTTATATCACCTACTTATCTCTGGGAAGCCATCCCAAAGTGCTCACTTCTCTAGACCACTACTTGTCTCATCTTCTTTTTTATTTTTATTTATTTTTGAGAAGGGGTCTCATTCTGTCACCCAGGCTGGAGTGCAGTATCACAAACAGCTCACTGCAGCCTCAACGGCTTGGGCTCATGCAATCCTCATGCCTCAGCCTCCAGAATAGCTGGGACCACAGGCATTTACCACCACACCCAGCTAATTTTTTGTAGAGACAGGATCTCACTTTGTTGCCCAGGCTTGTCTCAAACTCCTGGTTTCATTTTTATTACTTTCCCAAAAGCTGCCGAAGCCTATGTCAGTCAGGTCTGCATGAGGCTCCCCATTCATTCTGGAGCCCCAAAGCTATTTCCAAATGGCAAAGTCATGGCCAGCGAGGGAGGCTCATTTGTTTAACTTTGGGAGTCTGTCTGGGCCTAAAACCAGCCCCTGCCTATGGAAAATTCTCAGAACAGAGGACCCTCCAGGCCTGAGACCAGAAGTGAGGGAGCCACAGACACCTCTCGCTGGGCTCCGGCTCCACACCCCCTTTCCTACTTGCCAGCTCAAGGAGCACACAAGAGACAGAGGTGTTTGGGCTTTTACTTTGTCAAATAATTGCTGAATGATTTTCTACATAGTTCCCTGGCTCCCCTATCCCACTTTCTCACTCAGATGTTTTATTAGCTGAATTCTAATCTGGGTTTCTTCACAATGTTGCCTTTCACTAAAAGCTAATAAAATCCCAAACGGGAAATTCAGAAGTCGCAGCAATACCACATGACTGTAACTGGTTGTTGGTCAACTTGATTTGGTTTTCAAGGCTATATACCATCTGGGGGCTTCAGTTCTCCACCCGACTTTGTAGCAATAAAGGTTTTTATCTTTTCTTGCCCTGAACATAAGTCCTGCACCTTCCTGAGGAGTCCTGCAGACAGCCCCACACGGCCTCGACAGCCCACTGCACCCCTCTTCTCTGCCACCTCTACTTCCTCACTCAACGCTCTGAGCAGAGGCAGCCAGTACCGCTCACCGAAGTAGTTGCCTCTATGAGACCATGAGCAGACTTCCTTCTAGAACCCTGCTTTGCACCTGCCACCTGGCCAGGTGAGCCCAACCCTGGTCACCCCGCATAACCAGGAGGCTGCTCAGACTCTCACTAGAGGAAACATTTTCAATAATGAGCAAAATCTCGTGCAATTCTCCAGCACCAAAATCAGATTAATCCACAAGAAGAACAAAGGTGCTCTGTTGCATCCTGAAAGGCATGGTGATAGTTGAGAGTTGTCTTGTATCAGCCACATCATCA